AAATAAGGATTTTTTTTTCCTGTTCAAAAGCAATTTCAGAGGTTCTTTTCCCGTTTGATAAGACAAAACCAAATCATCTTCAAGAAGACTAACCAGTTTTTAAAAGTAGGTCAAACTAGTTGGTTGGGTTTTGAGTAAAATTAACTAGCTCTCAGAAATTAAATGCAACTAAGCAAAATAAGCTAGTTGGCCTCAGATTTTGGCCGAGCCAGGCCAGTTGCAAGAAATTTTGGAAACTACATCAAGCATCTGACAAGAGAGCCTCATAAGTTTATCGACATCTTTTATTACCTTGGCAAAGATGCATGTGCCCTCAAAATTGGAGTCTTTCTTTCGCCCTTGACAAGGGGTTCTTCGAGATGAGCAAACTGTCGCTTAAAACGATCAACTCCACTGCAAAAGAATAATAATTCAATGCAAATGGTCAGACATTCCATGTCCATAATAAATATTTAAGTTCATAATAAGGGAATAGCTCGACAAAAATCTACCTTATGAGAAAAAAGGACATCAAAGAAATATAAAACTTGTGCTTTGCCTTTCTTCCATACTAAACTTAATTCGTTTGTTGTTTGAAATCACAATATACTTCAACTCCATCCACATTTCAGGGGGAAAAAAGCAAACAAACAAACACAAATGGTGTAATAAACTACATATCCAAGAAACGCAAGTCACTCCAGAAATACAGACTGTTCTGTTACCTTGGATACAAAAAGCTTGTCTGCTCTCCACCACGTAGATATTCCTGGAGCATCTGGGGATGATACTCTAATATCTGTTTGTTTCTAAAAAACTCAGTTCTTGAAAAGTTGATAAAGGTAAGTTAGATACTGAAATGAAGAGGCATGCTTGTACCTCACGATAAATTAATTCTCGTACATCATCTTTTGTCAATTTTCTCCTTTCAAACTCAAATTCAAGTTTTGAGATAGGCTGTGTCGATGGTTCACGGTCCACATTTGCCAAACCTTTGAAGTATGGATGGCCTAGTGCCTAAAAAAGAGAAAAGAATAAAGACAACTTTTAGACTTCACAAGTAAAATTAAGTAAACTACAGGATCTGTATTAGTTTTTTGTAAAGGTGAACTTTTTCGATTTGCATTCTTACCTCTTCCGCAGATGGACGATCCTTAGGATCAAATGCAAGAAGGCGTTCAAGTAGATGTAAAGCCAAAGGATCTGCATCAGGGAACTTCTGTGAGAAAGGAATCGGAGGTTTTTTGCGCATTCCATTTAAATATCTTTTAGCCTTTTCATTTCGGATCTGTAGGAATCAAGAGCTATAATCAGAACACATACATTAACATTGTAAAAAAAAGTTGGATTGATATAAGAAGGATATGTTTTTAAGTTGTCTAGTTCTAAGGATCGCATTAAATTCTTCTATGGTGCATAATATACAAATTTATTTTCAAGAATTCTCTGAATAACTCCTGCAGTAGTAAAGGCCCCACAACCATAACCAGAACACAGAAGATGAAAAGCCTAGTTCTGAGGTTTTAGCTCTTTGAATCACTTGTTCTCTAGTTAATATGATTTTCGATATTATTTCCATTGTTGCTATCAGATAGCTTGTTTCCTCCTAGTACAGATCTGTGCCTCCAGAACAACAAAGGAACTTAGAAATTCAGGCTGACTACAGTTGCATAGCATGCATTACATACAGATATTGAAGCACACATAATTCGATTATTTATGTGGCGCTCTTCATAAGCAATGATGTACTTAAGTGCATATATTAAGTATTGATATTCATTGGTGAAATTTTTTTCCATTCCAGCTAGCTTTCCTGCCAACCAAAGAGAGAAACTTGTACACATGTGCAAGGTAAAAATCAGAACTTGTGCTTTGGTTGTAAAACAGTATGAAATGATGAACAAACATATAGCAGGAAACTGCAACAACAATGTAATGCTAATATAAACAGAAAGTATGGAGAAAAACCAACCCTTGAAATTGTTTCAGGAGGTGGAGTGCCAAGTAGGTCGGTCATGAGATCCAACTGATGCACCACATTCTTCCCTGGAAAAAGCGGCTTTCCTGATAACATTTCGGCAAATATGCATCCTATACTCCAAATATCAATCGCAGGGGTGTACTGCAAGATGATGAGTAGAAGAGAAACAGATTGGCGTCATCCAAATGAAGTATAGTTAAAAATTAGACATGCATGCGTACAGCACAAAATATAATCGATTATCACACTGGACATGTACATTAGTATATCTAAAACGAGTGCCAATCACCAGCCCAGTTTATTCACCATTAGCACAACTCTGTACTTAAGAGTATTACTTGAAAGCGGAATAGGCAAGAATTTATGCAAATGCATATACCCAGAAAAACATTTTCATGGCAACAAAAGAATTAAATGCAAAAGATAATATCTGATGAAGTCATAATAACAAATGAGAAGGGCAGGGTTATGTTCTTAAATTGGGCAAAAAAAGCATAAATTATACGCAATACTACCTTGGAGAAAAAAGAGCCACATAGTTCAGGAGCACGGTACCATCGTGTTGCCACATAATCCTATGATGTGAAAATGAAACAAAGAGAATATACGTCAACGATAAAGATTCAGCATTAGCATATCATCTGCTTCTTTTTCTTCTTTCTTTATCAAGGAGACATATCATGCATCTTGGTAAAGCGTTGTAATGAAAGGATAAAAGAACAAGTTAGGCTATGAAGCCATGAAACAACTACTCAGAAATCAAATAAAATCATAGGCATCAAGGCACCAGTTTTTCACTTTTAAATCAAAGATAAAACTAGTATTGCAAGAGGAGAAATTTCATACCGTCCAGAATATAGCCGAGGGAGCATCATCAAATGAAACACGAGCAAGACCAAAGTCGCAAACTTTCAGTTTACAGTCCGCATTTGCAAGAATATTTTTTGGCTTCAAATCCCGATGAAAAACATTGGCTGATAACCAACAACACACAACAAACAGTGTGGATATACTTCATAGCTACTCAGAAATCAAATAAAATCATATACTTCATAGCCAAAAAAAGGCATTCACCAGTGTGGATATACTTCATAGCTCGCAGAAGCTGGTACAGGAAAAACTGATGGTGTTCAGGCGTGAGATCGTCATTTGCCTTAATAACGTGATGAAGGTCAGATTCCATCAACTCGAAAACAACATAAATATCTTTAAATTCTCTCCGCGAGGGAGGAAGCATTATGTGCCTAATTTCTACAATGTCAGGGTGGCGGAGCAGCCTAAGCAACTTGATCTCTCGCAGGATGCGAGTAGCATCCGAAACATGCTCGAAGACATCGTTTATCTTCTTGATTGCCACCTTCTCTCCATTGTGGGTATCCACGGCAGCGCCGACGACCCCATAACTTCCCTTGCCGACCACCTCATGAATCTGGTATCGGCTCGCTTCACCGTATTCAGTGAAGAAGTCTGCTTCATTTGTGCTCTGCATAAGTTCATAGCTTAAAAAACTAGCTACCTATCTTAAAGAAAAATGCAGATACGGTTAAAAATCCTAACTTGTTGCTAACATTGAATGCTACAATGAAAGTTAGCAAGAATCAAACAACTGGGTATTAACGAGCGTAGCAAAAATCCAACTTTTTTACGGATGAAATAATATCGTATCAAAATCGCGCCCATTCTCAAGAGTTGGAAGAGATGTAAGAGTCAAAACCGAACCTTTTTATCGACCATCGCCCTCCACTTGGGAACACTGACTGCTTTGAGACCAGTGAGATCGTAATCAACGACAACTTCAATCTCACTTCCTTCAACCTCTGTTTCTTTTCCCTCTTCCTGTTCTTGATTGGGATCGATGAAACGAGTGGAGGCGCTTTGATTTCGGCGCTTGAACAAGCGACGGACGCCATCAACGAACACGCCTCGGCCCCCCATTTCACTGCGGAAATATCGCCGCCATTGATGGATGCTTGAGAGTCTCGCTCCGCGGTCGCCAGCAATGCGGAGGAAACGCGGTCGCCAGCAAAATTTGGTCGATTGTGCCTTGCAAAAGCACGACGCGTTCGGGTTTTTTATTTTTAAATTGGAATTTTTTTTTTATAGTAGGGGTAGCGGGGGTAATAATTAGTATCTTTTATTATTGAGGAGAGATGCGGAGCGAGGGAGTTCAATTATTAGTCCTTATAAATTATTTGCTTGTTTATTTGGATTACCGGTCTGAGTATTTTATGTCTCCATGTGTGTTACTGATTTTTCTCATGACATGCAGTTAAACTGAAGGCAATTTTAAAATAATTTATGACTTTTTTTAAAAAATTATGACTATAGATATGTAATTCTTTGCGGATAATAGTTCTTAAAGCAAATGCAAAAAGAATAAGAAAAGAAAAGGGGGGAGAAAAGACAATAGATTGGTAAATTGAAAAATATTTATATGATGTTAAAACGGATATGTAAATTGGTAAAAGGCAAGAGATCTGGAAAGGAAGAAATAACAACTTCCTCCGCGTGAAATCCATTATTTTATTAACTTGATGAAGTCTAGAAATCAAGTACTACTTCAGTAATTAGTACTAGGGTTTTATGGTCCAATAATCTCTTGTGCAATAGAGTTATAGCTCTTGGTGCTGTACGGAAACAAATTTTCAAAACAGTCCTTGACTTTTAATTCCAAAAAAAATCAATTTTCAACTTATTTTCAGAAACCGACACGGTTTCAGCCTCCCTCAGCGCTAAAATCAGGTCTGTTTCTGAAAAAAATTTCGAAACATCACGGGAGTTGTCAACTCCTGTGAAGTTTAGTAAAGCTTACCTTCACGTGAGTTTTAATCCTGGGAAGTTTCAGAAATTTTTTTCCTAGAAACCGACCTGGTTTCAGTGCTGAGGCTAAAACCGGGTCAGTTTCTGAAAATAAGTTGGAAATGAGTCTTTTTTTACGATTATTATTGTAAACGGCGTTGTTTTGAAAATTTGTCGAAAAGGGTGGGGGGGTGGGGGGGAGTTATGTTCTTTTCCCTTTTTTCCCCTAGGTTTGGTCGTTTAAGTTTTTTTTAATAGATTTAATAGATTATTCTTTATAAGAAAATACTCAGTTGATGACAGTAGTTCAAGACGCTGTGGCATCTTGCTAGCGGATACTGAGAATGCTTGTCGCTTTTTAATGGAGTCAAAGCGTGGATCGGCCACGTTAAGTCTCTGCTCAGTGTATGGAGGGATTGCGACATTTTATTCACTCTCATTAGTGACCCTAGTTGGAGTATCTGTCATGCAATTGACTCTGACAACTCCCTATGATGGAAGTATGTATATTTATAACTAAGTTACCCTTGATTTGGAGTATTTGGTTACGGAAAAATTTGCAAAATAGACCTATTTTGCTAATTATTTGGCAAAACAGATCGTTTTGGTCTGTTTGGCTAAATATTTAGCAAAATAGACTCTTTTTCACCAACATGTCAAAAAGATATCGATTTTGCTAAACAAGCCAATCGAAACATACACGGCTAGTAGTTCCGTATGATTTAATCCATTAAATCATACGGGACTACTAGTCACGTATGTTTCGAATGGTCTGTTTAGCAAAATCGACCTCTTTTTGGCCTGTTGGTGAAAAAGATGTCTGTTTTGCTAAATATTTAACAAAACGGTCTGTTTTGCAAATTTCTTTCTTTGGTTACATGTAGTGATAGTAGGGGTGGGCGACGAATCCGGTCGGCCCTATCTGCGACTTGACCCTCGTGGGTTACCATATGGCCTAATTGGACTTAAACCTGGCCGGGTCAATGTGTGTGGGGTCATGAGCCGTGGTTGTAGGTCTAACTATGGACCTAGATTGGGCCATGACCCCTGGGTCCGACAGGGGTTGTACCAAGCCCGTTTGGGTGTTGATCACGAGTCGACCCACAGTTTTTGTTTTTCCAGTTATTATTAGAGTTTAGTAAATAATAATTGTATTAATGTATATTTAATTTGAATGGAAATTTTAATGAGGTAGGACAAAAACAGCTTACCATGTCTATTTACGACATACTTGCCACATACAGGATCTAAACTTAATTCATGTGGGATTGTTAATATCCCCTGAGGCCCTAGTGCGGTCGAAACATATCTGTTGCTTAAGAAGTTTATTATTATTATTATAGAAAACATGATGTAGATATTTTATTCTATCATTTAAATCATCCATTACGTAATGGTTTAAAAAACATTGACATTGAATAAATCCACAAACATGTAGGATTTGTGTGCGTGGTCCTGGGTAATCTGCTTTAAAGACAATCTGTAACCCAGCCCATTATCCTATTGATCACATTTGTAGGCCAGGTCAGGCCAAATTGGAGTGGGCCTAGCCCTTTCATTCTGAACCTAGGCCGTGGTCCAGTCTGGCCCACGATTATGGACCGGAGGGAGAAGGCCCACCGGTCGACGACCGGGCCTAGAGCAACCTTTAAGCTGGACAAACAAAAAAGATTTAACATCGTCACATCAGTTTCTCTTGTTACATCACTTTTTCAAGTTAAACTAGGTTGTAAATTTTATTTTTAACCCCCCTTTTTTTTTCTTTCCCCAAACAACTCTTTTGGTGCTGTAAACATCAATTAATTAAATACGTACGCCGGAATTTAGACGCAAGCTGAAACAACAGGAAAACCAAGCTAGTCCTGACCAAACGCATCCTTGTATCAAATTAAATTGTAATATTGGAGTCAAATCAAATCACCAGGTTGATTTACCGAGACAGTGATTTTTCACCATCTTTTTTTACTTGCTATTAGTTTGCAAAAATCCTGATAAACCAACACGATAAGATCCCCACACACACACGCGCGCGCGCGCACTCACACGTGTAGCTCTCCATGATCCAACTCACCCTCACACGTGTCAAATACCCCTTCTCTGCCCCAAATTCCTATTTCCTTCCCCCTTCGCCCTCGATCTCAGTCGAACCCCACGATTTCCAACCCCAAAATGGCGGATCGGCACT